ATTATGATTTATCGTTAGACATAGGTAGATTCCGGTTTTATTTAAAAGTCTTTCCCCCGGTAGAATTTTCTCAATATTTGATATTTGTAAGATAATTCACTATATAATATAATAGCAAATTTTCGTGATGTACAAATGATAGAAAAGTTTCAATTCCTTGTTGCATTTTGTCATAAAATACCATTATCCGGAAATATGATTATCGTTAGACATAGGTAGATTCCGGTTTTATTTTAAAGTCTTTCCCCCCGGTAGAATTTTTTTATTTTCAGTATTTATAAGATGAGTCAATATTTTATATAATAGGCAAATTTCGTGATGTACAAATTGATAGAAAAGTTTCAATTCCTTGTTGCATTTTGTCATAAAATACCATTATCGGGAAATATGATTATCGTTAGACATAGGTAGATTCCGGTTTTATTTTAAAGTCTTTCCCCCGGTAGAATTTTTTATTTTTCAGTATTTATAAGATGAGTCACTATTCTATATAATAGGCAAATTTCGTGATGTACAAATTGATAGAAAAGTTTCAATTCCTTGTTGCATTTTGTCATAAAATACCATTATCGGGAATTATGATTATCGTTAGACATAGGTAGATTCCGGTTTTTATTTTAAAGTCTTTCCCCCCGGTAGAATTTTTTTATTTTCAGTATTTTATAAGATGAAGTTCACTAATATATATAATAAGCAATTTCGTGATGTACAAATTGATAGAAAAGTTTCAATTCCTCTTGTTGCATTTTGTCATAAAAATACCATTATCGGGAATTATGATTATCGTTTAGACATAGGTAGATTCCGGTTTTATTTTAAAGTCTTTCCCCCCCGGTTAGAATTTTCTCAATATTTGATATTTGTAAGATAATTCACTATTATAATATAATAAGCAATTTTCGTGATGTACAAATTGATAGAAAAGTTTCAATTCCTTGTTGCATTTTGTTCATAAAATACCATTATCGGGAATTAAATTTGATTATCGTTAGACATAGGTAGATTCCGGTTTTATTTTTTAAAGTCTTTCCCCCCGGGTAGAAATTTTCTCAATATTTTGATATTTGTAAGATAATTCACTATATAATATAATAAGCAATTTTTCGTGATGTACAAATTGATAGAAAAGTTTCAATTCCTTGTTGCCATTTTGTCATAAAATATCATTATCGGGAATTATGATTATCGTTAGACATAGGTAGATTCCGGTTTTATTTTAAAGTCTTTCCCCCCGGTAGAATTTTCTTATTTTTCAGTATTTATAAGATGAGTCACTATTTTATATAATAGGCAAATTTCGTGATGTACAAATTGATAGAAAAGTTTCAATTCCTTGTTGCATTTTGTCATAAAATACCATTATCGGGAATTATGATTATCGTTAGACATAGGTAGATTCCGGTTTTATTTTAAAGTCTTTCCCCCCGGTAGAATTTTCTCAATATTTGATATTTGTAAGATAATTCACTATATAATATAATAAGCAATTTCGTGATGTACAAATTGATAGAAAAGTTTCAATTCCTTGTTGCATTTTGTCATAAAATACCATTATCGGGAATTATGATTATCGTTAGACATAGGTAGATTCCGGTTTTATTTTAAAGTCTTTCCCCCCGGTAGAATTTTTTTATTTTTCAGTATTTATAAGATGAGTCACTATTTATATAATAGGCAAATTTCGTGATGTACAAATTGATAGAAAAGTTTCAATTCCTTGTTGCATTTTGTCATAAAATACCATTATCGGGAATTATGATTATCGTTAGACATAGGTAGATTCCGGTTTTATTTTAAAGTCTTTCCCCCCGGTAGAATTTTTTCAATATTCGATATTTGTAAGATAATTCATTATATAATATAATAAGCAATTTCGTGATGTACAAATAATAGAAAAGTTTCAATTCCTTGTTGCATTTTGTCATAAATACCATTATCGGGAATTATGATTATCGTTAGACATAGGTAGATTCCGGTTTTATTTTAAAGTCTTTCCCCCAGGTAAATTTTTTTATTTTTAGTATTTGTAAGATAATTCACTATTATAATATATAGGCAAATTTCGTGATGTACAAATTAATAGAAAAGTTTCAATTCCTTGTTGCATTTTGTCATAAAATACCATTGTCGGGAAATAGGATTATCGTTATACATAGGTAGATTCTTGTTCTATTTTAAAGTCTTTCCCCCGGTAGAATTTTTGAATTTTTCGTTATTTGTTGGATAATTGGATATTTAATGTAATAAGTCGATTTCATGGCGTACAAAGTATTAGAAGTGCCGAAATCAGACTTCAAAGCCATCAAAACAATGTATCTCTTTGGGTAAATGTTACTTAATTTGCTTTTGAATTTGCTTGTTCAATCTTTATTTTAAAAGATGTATTTGTGCAAATCAGATTCGATTTGTTCATATCTCATTCTTATTGATGGAAATGAATAGGTTTGGTATTTCGCTTAGATATAATTTTTTTTTGTTGTGAAACCTTCCTGTGAATTCATGCTTGTCCACCTATATATCTGGCAACAGTGATTAGAGATATCATTGTTCAGCTGATTTCGATTTATTTTCCCGGCAATTGTGGCTATTTTGTGCCATCAATTGCCGGACTTTGAGAGGTTCTGGCGCTGAGTTAAACATGGATATATGTAATTTAGTAATCTGTGAACGTTTAGGATGCCTTAACTTACGGTGAAACATTGTCAGAACGTCAGCCCACACTCGTGTGACGCTAGCCCACACTCGTGGGATGCCAGCCCACACTCGTGTGACGCTAGCCCACACTCGTGTGACGCTGGCCCACACTCGTTTTTGTCAGGCCATACTAGAGGTAACTGGGCCGTGCTTGGTATTGTATTTGCGTTGTGTATATCAGATATGGTCTCTATATTGTCAGAGTCACCGAGTTTTTATGTAATTACGTTTATAAAGTCAGTAAAATAGTTGGTTAACCCCTTGACGTCAGGCTGAGTGTGGGCTGAGCGAGTGTGGGCTGGGGTCCCACACTCGTGTGACGCTGGCTCACACTCGTTTTTGTCAGGCCATACTAGAGGTAACTGGGCCGTGCTTGGTATTGTATTTGCGTTGTGTATATCAGATATGGTCTCTATATTGTCAGAGTCACCGAGTTTTTATGTAATTACGTTTATAAAGTCAGTAAAATAATTGGTTAACCCCTTGACGTCAGGCTGAGTGTGGGCTGAGCGAGTGTGGGCTGGGGTAACTTTGGTACAATTTCGGTTACGCTAGCCCACAATTCTGATTATGCCAGCCGACATTGCAGTTTAGCGGTCGGCACATTCAATTGTGGGTACTGATTTTAATGTAAAAGAACACGTTATTAGTCCCATAACTAAATTCAGTAGGTTTGCCTTGCTTAAAGTCCTTTAATCGCTGTAAATATATGCATGATTAACCCTCTGATCTCCAAGTAATTGTGGGCTGGGAAATTGTGGGCTAGAGTAACGTTGGTGATTTAGCCTACCCTCTGATCACCATGTAATTGTGGGCTGGCAAATTGTGGGCTAGAGTAACCTTGGTCCCTTCAGATGATAATAACAACAGAACAAGGCCTTTTGTAAGTTCTGCAGGCAGGCAGGTGGGAATTGAATTCTAGGTTATGATGTTAGCTTCTTCGACATCTGATATTACTGTATTATGGTTACTTTTCAGTAAATTCAATGACTTCACATCTAGATGTATTTTCTAGATGTTCTATTTTTCAATCTGGATGTTTCTAGATGTTTTTCGAGGTCAATCTAGATGATTTTATAGTCAGGCAAAAGTGGCAGCCCTGGACGTTAGTCAGTTCTTTATCGTCGGTGCCGATGCCATTTTGAGCGATTGTACGTATAGGCTATTTGGCAAGCTCTACGAGTTATGACACAGTGTGAGGTACGAAACTACACGATTGAATCTATACCGGTAGGCCATTACTGGAACTTTTGGGTACAACCATACACAAACATCTGAACATAAGTTCAAGTGTAAGCAAACTTAAATTTTCCTGAAACAGTAAACGGAACAAAGAATATAATTGGTTTTGTTTCTAGGTCCCCCTGCATTATTCGGTTTTCTGTCGTTTTCAAATTGTAATAGCTAGTTCCAGAATAAAATCGATTCATAATTTTATAAACTCAATATTTAATTTTTTAATGAATTAGATTACCCGTACGGTGATAGTTATTGTCGCAAATATTTACCTTTCAAAATGTTAAAAAACTGAGTAAGCTCCCATAAATGGGATCTACCACAAGTACTTACTTCCTCTGGACGTATCATAACGAATTTTGCGTATGTTATTCCTAACCCCCACCTGACTATGTCATCCAAAATTTACGTCGCTACGACATTACAATCATGTCATAGAGCTTGCCAAAGTTTAGCTATGATCGCCCGAAACGGCATCTGCGCCGACGATAACGAATTCACTAACGCCAGCGGTCTCTCTTTTAGCGGGATCGTTGAGACGAGAAATAGCTTGCTCAATTTCGGGTGATTGTCTGCGCGTTTTGGACGACCATCTGTACACATTGGAGGACTTTATTACGCCACTGTGACATCGTAGTGACTTAATCTTTTGGTGACCTAGTCAGGTGGGAGTTAGGAATGATATATGTGAAAATTGTTGAGCCCATAAATGGATTCGTCCATATTTGAAAAACTCTACACCTTCAACATTAAAAACAAAATATGCTAATTTAGATTACTTAAACAGTTTTCACCGTAAAATGCCTAGGCTATATCTTCTGAAAAATGTAAGGAACTATCGGTAAATAAATATACTAATTTGTCTAAGAAACAACATATCTAAAAATTCTTATATTTTTTACCATTTTTATTGTAGACTCTTTGGTTTCAAATATTGAATAATAATTTCATTAGTAATGTTTTATTTATCAGTGATTAATAAGCCATGAACCCCACCTCTCACGACTAGAGTGATCTGTGGAATCTAGGTAGTGTTATATCCATTGAATGTTCATATTTGTGTTTTTTGTATTCTGTAGTTCACATGTAATTTAATTAGTTTAATAACGTTTGTTGGGCATATTTGAATGCAGATTTTTATCATGGAAAATGAAAAAGAACTTCTGTCCATCGAAAGTCTTTCAACTCTTGATGAGATGCAAGCCGCATATAATAAAATGCAGAAAGAACTAGAGGAAAGCACAAAATCTTTGGAAGAACACATTATTGAACGCCCACAATTAGATGCAAAAATAAAAGGAATTTGTAAAATGGAACCTTTTCTTGATTTACTTGAGTGCGACTCTGACAGACTCTGTAGCCAAACAAATTTTGTATGTGATTTAGCAGAGAATATTAGTTCCAAAGTTCGTCAGCTTGATTTGGCAAAAAATCATGTTTTTGAAGCAATTCAACGAGTTGATGACATTCTGGATTTAAAGTTTTGCACTGATGGTGTCAAGACTGCGATGGAGTCGAATGACTATGAACAAGCAGCGGCAAATATCCACAGATATTTGTGCTTAGATGAAAATGTAATTCAGCAAAGCATTATTGCGGGAATGGAAAGTTCAACTATCAATGCATCACTGACAGTATTAAGAGAAGCCAGAGTTCAAATGTCTAAGGTTGTTTCGGAACAGTTCGACTTGGCAGTGAAAGAAGGTGACTTGACAGCTGTTGAGCGTTTCTTTAAAATATTTCCTCTTTTAAAAAAGGAGGAAGAGGGTCTGGAAAAATTTGCCAAGTTTTTGCGGCAAGAAATTGCAAAAAGTTCACAAGAAAATTTGAAACTTGCTCTGAAACTTGATTCCAATGATAGACGTTTTCATGTTCTATTTGCAGACACATTGACACTTTTATTTGAAGGAATAGCTAGAACAGTAGAGAAACAACAACCTCTTGTTGAAACATATTATGGTCCAGGAAAACTTTTCATGCTTGTGAAAAACTTGCAACAAGAGTGTGATATTCAAGCAAGATATGTGCTTGATAAGTTTGAATCATTCAGAAAATTCAAGTGGAAAATCCAACAAGTACAGAATGCTTTTGTTAATAGAGGACGGAGCGCTGATGATTTGAATAGGAAATCTTTTGATCCAAGAGATATTGAACCGTTGCTTGCTGAAGTTACTCTGATAAGTGCAAGGTGTGAATTATATCTTAGATTTTTACGGAGACGTGTACAGGCAGATATTGACATTGTGTATCAAACAGAGGAAGAAAAGAAGGAAAATAAAAGTGAACTTCTCAAGTGGGTGACCAACTGTGACCTCAGTCATAAAATGCAGGAGATTGTTGGTGGATATATCTTGATGGAGGAATATTACATGAGAGAATCAGCATCGAAAGCTATACAACTTGACACAATTGAAGAAGGTTCGCTGACTTCAAGTATGGTGGATGATACATTCTTTATATTAAAGCAATGTATTAAAAGGGCCATGACAAGTTCATCTATTGATTGTGTTTGTGCAATGCTAAACCATGCAGCCAGTGTGCTTGATTCCGATTTCCGTTCTGTTTTAACAACTAGAATCAAAGCAGGCTTCTCATCTGGTGGAATGCTAGATAACATTAGTTCTGCGTACAATGTTATGCAGACTTCACTTCAGCAAGGTAAATTGGGAAGTGTAGATGAACAAAATGCAATGGCGCGTCAAATGTTCATCACCACTCTCAATAACTGCGATGTAGCTAGTCAACATGTACAAACACTTAAACGAAGTCTAGAAGCTGAAGTTTTCAAAGTTTTTGTAAAACTACCGAAACAAGATTTGGCTAAACTGGAAAGTTGTTTTAGTGATCTTGTTGCATTATCATCCAATTTCAAGGACTTGTTGGAAGCAGGTGTAACTGAGCTCAGCTCATCTTGTATAAAACCAGAAATCCGCCCATTAATTACGAATTTTTTATCTGTGAGTCACATTTTAAGTGAATCAGATTTCGCCACTTATGAGGCAAACGATCCTTGGGCAGAACAGTTAATTTATGCTTTGCAACAGCTGACTGACAAATTTCATGAAGCACTTTCATCAATGATATATGACCAACTCATCAGTCACTTGACCAATGAAATTGCTATACAGCTAGAAAAAGTTGTATTCAAGTCTACCTTTAATCGACTAGGTGGAATGCAGTTTGATAAAGAGCTTCGGTCACTTGTGAGTTTCCTGACAACAACGACAACTTGGACTGTTCGTGATCGTTTTGCAAGACTGACTCAAACAGCAACGATTTTGAATTTAGATCGTGTTGATGAAATATTAGACTATTGGGGCCATAATTCTGGGCCTCTAACATGGAGACTTACTCCAGCAGAAGTACGACGTGTACTTGCGTTGAGGGCGGACTTTGGCTCTGATGAAATTTGTAAACTTAAATTATGATTCTAATCATAAAATATGGTATAAACTTGAAATTACCTAAATTTTACATATTAAATTTTTTCACATTTCATTCTGGAATGCTTTATCGAAATGTCTGTTTTAAAAATTGAGTGCATGCAATCGTAGTCCTACATCAGTGATTGTCAAAGTGTGGGCCACGGCCAAATTGTGGGCCCCCAAGTATTTTCTACTGTGGGCCCGCCAACAAATTTCAATTATGGGCAGTGATACACAAAAATGTTTCTATAAATCCAACATTACATATAATTTTTTTCCCAAATGGTTCGATCATTATGTTTGTTTCAACTATAGTACTGTAGCGTATTATGTATGTATGTTTATTTGCTTCAGAAATGTAACAGTATCTGTATAATAATTAAACAGTATAACAGAGACGGGATACATGTTCAAGACCTCACTAGCCTTAGACAGGGATGTGTGACCACTGACCACTGACCATTAATGACTTAACAATGGATAGAAAACTCATTGTTGTCGCCACAGACGTGCCACGCTTGAATGACCTTCTGTAAAATCATATTCTGGGGCGCTTAAACAATGCTTTTCTTATGGCGGAGCCACGTGAAATTAAAGCCTGAATGAAATCTCGTAAAATGGGATATTATACCAGGAAATTCAATATGTTTATACGGCTGTATTCATATACACTGTTGAAATAGAAATAATATGATGTATTTGGACAAATTTATATTTGGCCTCAAGTGCGAACATGTAGGTAACATCGTATATTAAATCCAAAGTTCGATATGCGACCAGAGGGTGGTTTTTGATCAATTTTCGAGGATTGTGGAAATGTCTGAATGGCGTGCGATTGCATTTTGTTATATTAGCCGATCTAATTCAGTGTGATCGGTAACGTTGGACTCCGAGCACCTTTACGTCGTTCTTTATTCTCCTTCACTATGCCTGCGATATATCTTTTAGAGCAGGGATGTGCAAACTTCATTGACAGGAGGCCAGATACAAGTTACTGGATAAAGCGCGGGCCGCACCTAAAAACTCTACCTATGAAAGGCTCTGGATACAAATTATCAACTTACGAAAATTCTTCTCGTAATATAGCTTCGGCTAACATAATATTTTCTACATACGAAAGATCAAAAACCTTTAAAACGCGTACAAATTTTCTTATCGAGCCACAGTTCGCACATCCCTGTTTTAGGGCATTCTGAAACTATCGTCGGGGCCACATGCAACTTTTACTCTGGTTATTATAAAATATAAGATAACTAATGTAATGCATATTCAGTCAATTTTTAATGTACTAAAATAAATCGTAGTTTTTTGATATTTTATCCCAGACCTAGAGATTCTTCTAGCGTTGAAAAATGAAAAATAATAGGAGTGGCAGAGCGGAGTCAGTGTTGTGAGAACATATAGGATTTGTAGAATTTGCAACATCGCGAAAATACGAATCACAACTAGCGATAAATACTGTATAATCAGACAGTATTCCATTCTTTGGCATTGTCTTGATATTTTATAGTGATGCTCTTATTCTGATGTAAGTCGGCGCACCGCAATTAATTCAACAAAGCAAGACATTTTAAATAGTCTAGTATTGGTCGTGAATACCTGGCGCAACTGGAAAATTATTAGTCAGTAAAAAGTCGGTTCTTTTAGCGCTACAATTTCAGGAGCCGTTCCGCGAGGATTCCGGGACGATCAATATTTATTTTGAACCGCTTTTGAAAATCCTTACTATGGCCTGATTAAGATAAAGTACGTTGAAGCAATTTATTAATTGTACCAATATAAATTTGGGTAGACTTTGGGATTTTATCGTAGATCTTGGAATTTTTCTAACAACGATATCTTATGAAAAATAATCACAACTGGCTGTCAATACAGCAGAAACTCTACCTACTAAATTAATTCGTTTCGGAATCCCCTTCGTAGGTAGAAAATTCTGAAAGTAAGGACGCAGTTTCACATAAATGCCCTAATTCGTTCCAAGTCTACACAAAACTCGGACATAACTTTTGTATAAAATATGATACTGGGTAAACCCGTAACAATTACATAATTACATGTCAGAATTAAATTACCACATAATAAATAGAAAATGTATACATAGAAAGAATAAAGAAATAATAAATAAAAACTACGAACGTAGACCGTGGGGAGTGAGAGGGCGGCGGTCGGAGTTTTTATTATTATTTCATTTCTCACTAAACCATTCGATGATTCAAATGAGTTAACCCGACATAATTTGCTTTTAGAATTATTGTCGAGGCCGAACGAACTATATCGACTAAATTTAAATATACGATAATAATTTCGTATATAAATATATATTATTCGTAAAACATTTTCAATCAAAAACGTCCTCGACGTATTATAAGCAATTCAAGTCAGCGCTAATTGGAATCTTTTCAGGTGGCTGTAATTTATTGCCGTGCGTACACGGCTGCTCTCGATATTCGAAGGTCGCGATATTCGAATTGGACATCCCTGATTCAAGCACTGCATTAAATCAAGCTCAAATAACTCTACACGCGGTATTCAAGTTTTCGGTCTTCTGTATGTTGAAAATCTGAAAAGATCCGACTATTTTTACGAGTGGCGTAATTCGGTGAATGTTTTAGGATCCATTCATGTAAATTTCCGAATTCTGATATCCAGACCGCTTTGAAAATCTTGGCTGTGCCACTAAAAGAGTGTATTGTAACGTGAGTCTAATCGACCCGTTTTTATAACATTTTGTGCCGGGATAATATGCAAAATTTAGGTTAATCATTCTTAAGATAAGTATTTCGCAAGCCTTCATACACGGAAATTATAGGGGAATCCTTCCTCTAAGAATCAATCGATTTTTACGATCACCTATTTTTATCAAGATCCTCATTAGCTAAATCCTTGATCTGAAGTTACAAACGTTCTATTACTACCAAATATCCCACATATCGTGCTTCAAAACTGGGCTTCCCAAACTAGGGGCCGCGGCCCTGGAAGGGGCCGCGAAACGGATTTTAGGGGCCGCAATGAGAACACCAATTTTACACAAAGTACCATATATATTGTACTTTTTTCAGACTTTCGATTCGAAATACAATTATTATACAAATAGTGTAATACAAAGATTTCAAGATTCCGAGTGAATACATCATCATAATACCGTGTTTTCCCGAAAATAAGACACTGCCTTCAATTTTCTTTCGAAAAAAACACTAGGGCTTATTTTTGGAATAGAGAAAATGAGATTTTTTATTATACAAAATATGAATACCGGTTTCCGTTTACTTATAGCACGTTTTTTTTTAATAACTGCTACATATAGACTATTAACCATTTAAAAAAAGTACAAAATATTTCTTGCTATCGACTGGGACGCACATCATCGTATTGTGACGCACTTCAAAAATATGCTCAAGTTGCGACCCGTGAAAATACGTATTGATACCTTTTAAAAGACCTTTTTCGCAATGAGTTTTATATAAACGAACAAACAAAACTTAACGACAGTCAGTGAAATCGCAATTAATGCGCCTTGGTAGAAAAGCCTGTTTTATATAAATAATAAATCTCGAAGAAGATGGGAGTGCACAACGCTTTTTGAAGGACAAATAATTTTTAGCTACAGAAAACCGAATTTTCAGAATTAAACTTTCCTATTAGAGCAACATCACAGGTAAGATCGATTTGATCTCTCTTTTGTTCAGTGAAAGTAGAAGATATGGGTTGTTTGAAAGGTTCACGAATCACGAAATTTTGCGACGTCCTAGCAAAATTGAAACGACGCACTTCCACGAGATTGAGTCAAAAAAAAAATGGCGCTATCGACTAAGTCTTTTTTAAAAGCGAGCGCTTATATTGAAATCTTTTTTAAAATTCAGGCTTGGTCTTATATTTGGGGAAACACGGTAGAATGATCGCGCTTACATAACAATGCATATTCTGATCGTGAAACCCTATTTGCGGTTTGCATAACAATGACGGCTTTAATCATTAGGCTAGCGGTTTCCGAAGACGATTTGCTGAGAGCGCCTCGAAACATAATTATTACACATCATATTTATTCCAAATGTTTTATTGTTTCAAATGACGTGTTATGAATCATTCAATCAAGTCATTTTGCCGTTCTATGTGTTTACTTTCTGTACGTAGGGTCTGTTGTTACGTAATATAAGAGATAAACCTCGTATAGGCTGCAGTTTATTCATTTGCTGAACCAAGTTCATCAAACTTGAGTGATTTCTTTAGCATTTTAAAGAAAAACCAGGCAAATAAAAAAAAAAGAAACGTTAATTTTTTGCCTTTATTCCTCGGGCCTACGTAATTAAAACCCTCAAAAGACATTTAGTACATATTAACCATGACAAAATTGTGTTTTGTTTTGAGGCAGTATATTTTTCGTGTAGGTGCGCCATGAGTTTTTTCCCTGATAATTTGGCGTCGCACAAAATGCGGCCTTGTGCTAGGTTTGATCAATAAGAGTGAACAATTCGAGATAAGAACCATGCCGTCGGTAGCCAGACATCGTAATTCATCATTTAGGCCTGTATAAAACTAAACAGCCTTGCTATGCAGACAAAAGCATTCGTACCCATTACACTGAATAATTGAGAAACGTTAATCTGAATAAATATGTGCTTGTTTTTGTTAATGAGTAGACATGTTGAAGTTGAGAATTAGCTGTGCCAATAAAACATCAAAAAAGCATAATTCGGACTGTTTGGCATTATTTAACGTGGACAAGGGCCGCAAAAAATTTTAATATATATATTAAAAGGGGCCGCGAGCTCAAAAGTTTGGGAAGCCCTGCTTCAAAACATTAGATTTTTACTAAGTATGGTTGTCTCTTCACCCTTTAATTCCCATGCATTCGGCTACAAGAAATGCGTCGGAACACAAGATCAGTCAAGCGTTTACTATCTTCAGCATAACAATGGTAAGACAATGGTCATTTTCATCCATTGTTAAGGTATCAATGGTGCGACATGCACCCCTAACAAGTACAGTAGCCTATAACTGCAGTTTACGGCTGCTGTGTTATAGTACAAAAACAGACATGAAATATACAAACAAAACTCTAGTACGATACACAAGTACAATAGTCAGTTTGTGGAATGTTCATGTTCCACGTTCTGGTGTGAAAGGATGGGAATAGGATATAATCCGCATTTTGATGTGTTTTCACAATAAATCTTATGACAAGTAAATGTTTGTTCGAAACATGAACTTGCCAAAAACCAAGGTTGGGTTCGCCCATCACGACACAAAAAGAGTAGTATAAATAATACGTATGCGCATTAGTGATTTTTTGTTAAGTGGCGATTGACATCTTCCAATACAGAGCATATAATAATAACTTTTAATTCACACTACTCTGCATATGATTTTGTCACCTGTGAATGCCTAGTGTGAACTTAACTATTA